ATCATGGGGCAGGAATAGCTTATAGGTTAGGAAAGGGGGGAAAGTGAGTATCAGTGCATTTGAACTCCCTCTGCTCAGCCTCAACCTGTCCTGTTGAGGTGCACTTCGAAGGAAGCGCTTAATGTTACTTATTCCCCAGTTGCGCCAGTGGAGGTACTCACCAGCAGAAGACTGTGGCTGTGTAGAAAAGTCAACTTTCCGTGAATAAACAGAGGCTGACAGGAATCGACCCTGTCCTCCGTGTGTCTTCTCCAGGTAGGGGATCAGATCATAGAGATTAACGGGGACAGCACTCGGGACATGACTCACGCCCGAGCCATTGAACTCATCAAGGCAGGAGGCAGGCGGGTCAGGCTGCTACTAAAGCGAGGCACAGGACAAGTGCCAGAATATGGTGAGTTTTTCTGGCACAAAGTAAAGTCTTTAAATGTCTTCCCACACTTTCTCTCTCCTCTGACTCTGACCTGATCTCTTTCTCTCTTTCACACCAGAGATTCATTGCTTGAGGATCAATATTACTGTTCTTTAAGGGTCTTTAACTGCAAATGCTTTGTTTCACTCAAGAACATTAACATGCATTAATATCTTTCTGCATTTTACTCCCCACTCTTCTATTCTGTAGTCTGAAATTAAATTTGTGTTATTTATGTGAATAACTGTGTTGATCAAACAGTAGAATAACAACCTACTCTCTAGCTCTTCGTGTGTTGTAACCCCTCTGCTTTAAGTCTAATGATTGGTATAGGCTTTTACTTGCCTTCCCTCAGGAATGGTACCTCCCAACCTCTCCATGTGCATGAAAGGTGACACACTAAGCTCCCCCTATTTCTTCCTAATGGGCCACTCTAAAGACACGGTTTGTGAAAAACTGCATGTCTCTCTCTCCATACTGATTAGTCTGTGTGGTGTGTAGCTGTGATCTATACTGCAATCGTGTGTGTGCATGATCATGAGTTTATGCATGGGAAAATAGCAGCCGTGTGTGTGTGCGTGTGTGCGAGTGTGCGGGTGCGGGTGCGGGTGCTTATGCATGTAAGAGAGCAATATGGTTTGAAGTGACCCTCCAGATGAAATTGAAGAGGGCTGTGAAGTAGACTGCGTGAAATCAATCTGTCAGGGCCGCCCAGGATTAGTCTGTCGTACAACTACAAATATGTTAATTGTTTTTCAGCACTGAACGGATCCTGTCCCACATGTCTGTTTTTGTGGAAGTAATGTAGGCATAAAGGCCTACATGGTCAGGTGTGTGCTGCTCACAAATGTTTGCATGCAACTTTGCCTGGTATTATATTAGGATGTGGTGTTTAATTGTATTATTGTATTATCTTTCCGTTTTCCCTCTCCTCAGTCTTTCTTTCTCTGTGGGTGCATGCTGGTTTGTGACACTCTGATGTCAGTCCACCTGAGCGTGTTTTCTTCTTCCCTGACAGACTGTGTCGGCCTCTGGGATTCCCTTTCTACAGCCCACTCTGCCCTGCAGGAAGTGACCCTCGAGCCCCACCCGAATCCATTGCTCTCATCCCATCCAGCCTCAGCCCCAGACTCCCCTCATCAGCTCCCTCTAGAGGCCACAGTGTGCATGGCAGACAAAGCTCCACAGCTGACAGACCACAGCTCCATTAGAGGGGCTACAGGTGGCAGGTCCACCCAGCAGAAGTGCATCATCAGGGGGCAGGGAACCCCTCTGGGGTCTGGAGAGATGGACTGTGGACCAGGCGACAGACAGCCTCGGGCTTTGCCTCCCAAAGGTGTCCTGGGGAGGTCTGTTGAAAGAAGAGAGAGGCAGAGGGAGACTTGCTCCCCCTGCTGTGAGAGAAAGGGCCTGCTCACACAGGCCATGACCACTGTCTGGCCCTGGGACCCATATGTGAGCGTGAATTTGAATGGAGCCTCTCTAGGCAGTGGAGATGGACATGTCAGCCTCCAGGAGAGGCTGGTGTCCAGAGGTCTGTTCCCCAGAGAAGATGAGAGGGCCAGTGGCCACAGTGGGCTTTGCTGCCCCTCTAAGACCATGGAAGATCCTCCTGTGAGGAGCGCAGCAGCCTCCCCTGGGCCCTGGAACATCCCTGGGTCTGACAAACTGCCTGGCACCCTGAGGTCCTGGACCTCCACAGTAAGCAGGTAGAATGGATCTCGCTGGTTTGGACTGGATCACACTGTCTGGCTCCTCATTCAGTTCACCATCGGATGTCTGAGTAAAACAGTAAATCTCCCTCACCCTCTCTTTCTGTCTTGTTTTCTTCTCCGTCTACTTCTAAGATCATATTTTATGTTTCATTTGTTCGTACGAGATAATTATTACACCCACCACCTTAAAAAAACAGAAGAACTTTCACAGTTATTGTAACATACAGTATAAAACTGATGGAGACTCACTCAATATGTAGGCATTTTGGACAGATGGCACAACAATGTCTGATTCTGAGTGGAGCTGTGCTTTCGATGTGTACCTTTAACTACTCAACCGTATCTGGATCAGATTGGTTAGTGCAACGTAACCTCAGATGGAACAAGGTTCCTCGCAGGAGAGAGACATATGTACATCCAAGAGATTTACTTTTGCTCCATTTTCTCTGTGCAGCGGGAAGTGTGATACTACAAATCTGTCAGAGGGATGCAGTGACACTGAAACTCCCGGAGGACATGGCACTGACCCAAGTGACAGCCTGGTTAACCCCACATATGTTAGATTTCACATGCCTACCAATATATCATATACTGTAAATGTAAAGATGTGAAAAATATGTACATTTGGTAATCTCAGAAACATACCTGTTGGTGTTTTTTGAGGCAGTGTCGTAGTTAGATACATTGTAAAGAAAAGAGTAAAAAAACACCAGGACAGTATTTTAGGATCACTTTTTCCATGGCCTCGTCTATAACTACATATCAAAGACTGTGCAAGTCACCAAACCCAGACCGCTGAGGGAGGCAGTGGTCACGTGCATGGATATAAACCACCATGTCATTACACAGGGACTCACATGTCTTTTACAGGTAGAATATAGAGAGGATATCCTCTGTGGAGCTGACCCGTTGGTATTCATGTGAGACAAAAAAAAATTTTTCAGCAAATTGAACTTTTGAGTGACTGAAAACGGCTGGCTTAGTAAGAACTCGTAATACTGTTCTCAGTTATGTAACTTGATCACAAGTCAACCATGCAGTCATCATGCAGAATTATAAGCCGTGTTGTATTCATTTAATGCTCAACTGAAGAATTTGTCCAGTCTATATTTCCCATTTCTATGCCTTTTACTGTGCTAAGCGTACCACATCACTGTGGGAGAGGGGCATCGGTGTGGGGAAGCGGAGGCCGATGGTTGTGAGGTGGGGCGGAGTGCCTTACTCAAACTAATGCAGAGCTGTTGTGATTTGTTTTGGGAATTGAATGCAAAACAGATGTGACCGTGCACACATATCAGCCTGTTTTCTTCTGACTTAACACCAACCAGTACATATAGTAATCTTGATGCACTCTCAGCTGTATAGTTTATCAATGTCAGTGATTGCTCTTGTCCCCTAGTGCTTCAAGGGGGATCAAATGTAGCCTGTAGCATTACATCCTCTTCTTAGAGAGTGGAGCTGTGAACGTTTATCCAGACAGGGTCATAATCAAAGTGGGCCGTTGTTTCAGATGAGTCTCATTTCAGCTTTATTTGTCTGTTGTGTAAAGAGAACATGTTAAGTTTCCATTGTTGCAGGTGGCACCAACGCTGGCTGAATCTGAACCCACGACCTAAGACGATCTGTGAAAGACAAATGCGTTGAAACGTGTGTTTGCTCACAAAGTTTTGATACTGGCAGTCGAGGCATGCTGCTATTAAACTGAGACACCAGAGATGAAATCACTATCCTCCTGCATTTCTCCATTTTGATATCATCCATTTCTCACAAGATGTTTGGTCTCATTAAAAATGAACCACCTGAGCTTTTGAGTAGTATATTTTGAAAATCACAATGTATTGTGACAATTTGCCTGACTGCAGCACGATGTTGTGAACTGACATCGGCCTACTGATAAACTGCATTTAACAAGACGATGCACCTTCAGACTTTGACACTAGGACCTTGTGCATAAAGCATCATCAAGACGGCTCTTGGCCCGCATTGGTTTCTGAGTAAAACGTGATCTGGATGTTTTTGGAGCCGAGTTCATGTGACAAACTGGTTAACATGTTAGTGAGGAGCATGAGAACATGCCATTAGGCTGTAGAAATGTGTTTACTGTATGTACAAATGTCAAAGTTCAGAAAAGGTGAAAGAATATATCATCCAGCCCTTTGTCTCTGTCCAGGCCGTCCTCCCTGCCTGCTGTGAGTGATTTTGTATACAGAAACAAAAAACTGCTTTATTGGAACCTGTGAAGGATGGCACGTTCATAAATCCCCATTGAGATCAAGTATAACTGTGTAGTGTTAATTGTGTACTATTCACCTTGTACAGCTGTATTCCTACAAATATGGTTTACTGTATCATTGATACTGTAGTTTCAAAGACGTGAACTATTTTTATGAAATGCGACAGTACTGATATATTACATTTTGCTAAAAAACAAAAAACTTGTTTACTGAAAGATATTCTGAAATACTGTCAAATAAACTCTTGACATGGTGTAAAATATTCTTTTCTAGATTGTTTTCCTCATAACCATAACAGTGAGACGGAGGAATTCATTGAAAGCAATTAGTCGATCGATTGATCTGTAACAGTTGATGATGGATTTATCTTTACAGTTACCAGAAAAAATTGAAAAACTCAAATATGAACTAGTTTTATATTATTTAATACTGAATATTTTTGGGATTTGGAGTGATGGATTGACAAAACAAGACATTTGAAGACATAACTGACACGACTCTTAAAACTTCTAATGGGAATTTTTTGGGCATATTTCATTTACCAAACGATTAATTTAAAACATTAATCATTAATGACATTAGTTGCAGGCCTAGGTGTACCTATACCAGAGACCATTCAAAAATATTAATGAATCCACATGAAGTTGAAAGTGGATTTTATTTAACAAATCAGCCTCATATTAGCAACAATCATTTACACATAGGCACACTTGTGGAACAATATAAAACCCTCAATCTTTACACACAATCCACCTTTTAAAAGGGTCCACACACACACACACACACACACACTTTTTTCCTTTGCTGATAGGGCTTTTTTTTCAGCTTCACCAAACTACATGAAAGAATCTGAAAAATGTCCCTCTTTCACATGTTAAAACATATCTGTCGGGCAGATGTCAATACATGACCACATAACCCTGAGAAAAGATCCAATTCGCCGTAATAAGTGAAAACACCTGTGTATGTGCACAATGGGAGCTCCAACACCATGTACCTACCATTTCATGAAGTCAGATCTACAATGATGATGTAAATAATTTGTGTTTAGACGGCTGCTCAGTCCTCCTGATGCAAGCTTTCAAGTGAAAGTGGGGGGTTGTGGATTAAAATCCTTCACATGTGGATTTTCAGTCATGCCAGAACAAAAAAAAATAATAATAATAATATATATGATACAAGTATTTACACATTTCTGAACAAAGCAGGGACAAACTCAATAAGAAAAACCTGTAAACATTTCCTCAGCATCTCAATTTTGTTTAGTGATGTAGGCCTAGATGTTGAGCTGCAGCTGAGCTGTAGGGAGACTCATTATTGAGTGTGAGAGTTTTCTGTAGGGACCAGGGTTTCACTGTTGGCCTGCTCATTCAGAGGAGCCTCCTATGAAAGGAAAAAGAATTACATTAATTCATTTTCTAAATGTGTATCCAAGCAATTCAATGTCTACAAGGTTCATGTTTATTGGCTCACCTTAAGATGTCTATAGATTCCCATTTGGAAACGACAGCAAACGACATCTACCAGGAATCCCACTACACCATGGAGCATACCTTCAAGTAAGAAAAATATCTAAATTAGTGTAGATGCTGATGTGCATGAGGGTTTAGATGAGGTGTTAATGATTTTCGTTGATAAGTATGTTAGATGTATGTAGTAGATGCTGTTGAGTCAATGTACATGTCAGTTTGGAGCATTTCAGTGCTCACGGACAAAAAAAAAAATCTATGAAGGGTATTTTTTTTTTCATCAACATCTACCCTCTACAATTTAAACTTGCAGCTTGGCAGTATCGCCATCATCTTTTGGGGGCCAGTTAATGACAAGAAATTCATCACCGCCTCCCATTATCTTATTATATTTCTGTGAGAACACCTAGCGATTCAATTTTAAAAGGTGTTTTTTTTTTACCATTTGCTGGATAAGATGACAAGATCAGATAACAGTCAAAGTCTTAAATCCTTATTTAGCCCATTAACTACAGGTTCTGTCTAGATTTTTGATTGGTAACACTGCCCGTCTGAGGGGCAGGAACCACAAGAAAAATGTGACATTTTGACAGCTGACCATTTCACAAAGCATCCATTAAGTTTTGAGATTGATTTTCTCCTTCCAGACAGTTGTTTTCAGTTCTTGCCCACATGAAAATCAACTTGCAGGACTTAAAATTTTGCTGAGTTAGGTCATTTATGGTAATGCAGTTGCAAATGGGACTATTTTAAGAAGCAGTTGAGGCATTTAGGTGTAGAGGCAGCAATGTTTTCAGTTTGGCAGATTGTTGACTTCTAAGGTTAATTCAGTTCTGAAATGAGCTGCTGAACAGGTTGTCTGTCACCTTTTCAGAAGGTGCTGGGAGGGTGGTAGTGAAAGTAATATAGTAATGTAACGAGTAACGTAACTAATAACTTTTAATACCCAGTAATAACTAAGTAAAGTAATATTACTTTATGAGAGAGTAATAAGTAAAAATTTACTTCCTGAGTAACTTGAGACACTTCCTGAGTGTCTGAAAGCTGTTTTTATACTGTAGTTACATTAATACAAGCCCAGAAATCAGAAAAGCCATCTAAAAATGTTGTTACAGCTTGCTCTGAAAGTAAGGGTAAAACATGACCCTTTTACAGATGCATCGCTGTGAAACATATTACCAGTTTCAAATGTTTCAGAGAAAGAGTTTAAGTACCTGTGGTGGAGAAAATGCCGCCAATGATGCCACAAAGTCTGATAAGGAACTGCCAGAGAGGCATGTGCTGCTCGCTGACTTTGACCATGAGTGAGCTGATATCGTATTTCATAAAGATCCCTGAGACTCCATGGCTGCCCGCAGCATGGTTTATCACTCGGTCCTGCAGGACAACAAGAGGAATCCAAGCACATTCACCGCACTGATCCATAGCATACTACACAAATATACAAACCCATGCAAACGTTTAAACCTACCTGCTCTGTGACTGAGTACTGATGTGTTTCTGCAGAGACCCTGTAGGTGTTCAGTTTGGTGGGAACAATAGTGATGAAGTACTGAAACATGTGGTTAGCTGGAGATAATGACCACAAATGTCATGTTAGCTCAATGAAGCAGCCTTGTTTTTTTACTGAAAATGGTTAAATGCTAGAGCAAAACAAAACAGTGCATATGGATGGAAAGGCATAAATTGAGATTTTTTTTAAAAAAGGATTATGTTACCATGAGCTGAGACTTTCTCTGTGCCGTCCAGAGGGCTGATTATCCCAGGAATCGCTTCTCCAAAGGATAGGTGGTCAATCCGGTGAGAAAAGTTATAAGCTGTAACGCAACATCAAATTTGAGAACATACATACAGTAAATATGTATACAACAAGGGTTTGTCAAAAGGATTATGCACTCACTGTCATGGCTAACTAGTGCAGCTAGATGGGCATGGCCTCTGGGATGTGGAATGGACCTGTGCAAGGATGAAAAGGTCAAGTACCTGCTCTGTGTGTCTCATGGCCAAGTCTAAATCATCAGTTTTTTTATAGCCATGCAGATACATACTTGCCAACAGTAATGTGGAAATTTCCTGCAACTTTGTTGACATACAGATGTCCATGTATCCTGCAGGCAGTATGGGAAGCAGAATTGTCCGCACTGTGGGGGAAAACAACACAATGGTAGAGGGAATCATTTTACACAATATAATAGATGCTAAGACACTTCCTTGATTATCTTTATAATCATATCGTGATACATACAAAGAAATATTTCATCTTGAGGAACCTGTACCTTTCAGACTGAACAGGAGGAGAACCTTTTATTGCAGCCTTGAATATTACATCCTGGAGAGAGTGCTCCACTTTCAGACGCTCCTGGATGTGAAGAAGTGTCCTGACAGTGACAGACAGAAACTTAAGGAACATTAAGGAAAAAAAAACTAATTTGGAATAAGACAAAACCAATTAAATGGACAAAACTGCATTTTCAATTTAGGTCTATAATTTATGCTCACAATAAGACAAAAGGGGTGTCAACATGTAAACATTACCCTGCTTGTTAGTTCTCTACAAATCATGTAAAACCAAACAGTGAATTTACGGTGAAGGCTACAGGTAGCAAACACTTTTTGGTGTCCTTTAGACTTGCTGACATTGTTACCAATAGTCTACTGATTTGTAAATACTGTAGCAAGACCAAAGACTGTACTGGTTGACACTAAATGGAAGCTGAATTTTTAATGTAACACAAATAACATAGAAATAAGAAATAACGCTGGATGAAAATGCTGTCATATTCCTTTGGGGAGTGTCCATAAACAGATGTTAGAGGTGCAACACACCACTGCAATACAAGGTAAAAAACTTACATGTGCCATAATCTTTGCTCTGGAGAGAGCTCAAAGTTGACCTAAAATGTGACATAACAGAAATGTCAGATGAGTAAAATGAATTGTACCACTGTAACTCATTAATTATTTACGATACAGTGAGTATATACTCACTGGTTCATATTTTAAGCCATCAGAGGCAACCATGGTCTCTGCCAGATCCAGGACATCTGCACCGATATCTGCATTCAACCATACACAAGTTCAAAACACCTTTCTCAACTCAAAATGTGCTTTATGAATGATTTTTCCAGAGCTGAAATACAAATAAAACAGAATTGTTGGTACTTACACTGGCATCTCATGGCCACTGTAATGTCAACATTTATCCTCAATTTACTGTAGGTGGAGAGCAGGTGTTGTTAGGAATCATACCGAGCCGATACACAGGGTTGAACCACAATAATCGATGTTTTTATTTTTTACCTGCTGTAGTCTTTGTCCACCTCATACTCGTACTTCATCCATGTATTTCTGTACACGAAGAATTCCAGGAAGGCAAGGATTGCCATGAGAGTGAATGCTATCAGAGACACTAGAGAGAGCACCAAAATTAGTTAGGTGAGTCCTTAGGGCAGGAGGCCGTATGTAACATAGCCAGAATTGAAGGCTACAATTAAAGCTTTACGGTATCTGTACCTGTCCCACCGCTGGCTGTGGACTCCACATAGCTCTCGGGAACTTTGGGGAAAGCGTCCAGCTCCTTCACCAGAGTCAGAGCCTTCTTCTTGGTCAGTCTCCTCATTGTAGGAGCAGCAGTGGTGTAGTTTCAGGTGACTCCCTCATAAAGTGAACGTCTTCTAGCAAGTTGTTACCGTTTGTTGTTTTGTGGGACGACCGTTGAGCAATGTGTTAGTTAGCTAACGTTCAACCATATGTTTCTTCTCTGTGCTGACGTAGACATGACAGCTGTTAGCACCGAGCTAATTATTTGACGTTATTGTTAGCTAGCATAGATAGCTAGCCGGCTAAAACGTGACGACGACAAACAGGTCTAACTTAAGTGAACAACACTGTTATTGTATCGTCAGCTCAGTCCACGGTTAAATTGCTTATTTTCACAGTCATGCATCGAGAAATCCCGAAACAGGAAGTTACCCGTTATGACCAGCTACTGTGTCATTTGACCCCATTTCCTGAGAAAAATAAACTGCTCCCGTTTGGACTTAGCGCCCTCCAGCGACTTCTAACCGTCGGTTCGTTGCCAGTTACAAACGTGCATTTAAAACGTTTAAAATAATATATAATGTGGTATGCCATTATATAGTTAGGTTTTGGAACTTGCTAAGTTCCCACTTGCTGGTACAAGATTTTTGATCTAGCCAAGACTGAATCACCACCTGGGTCACTTGCCCCAGGCCCCCAGACCCTCAGGGGCCACTAAAGCTAAAGTTATGTCTGTGTGCTAGTTGCTGTTAATACTGTTATGCAATTACTTTGTGTTAATTTGATTATTTGCACATTTGTTTGGCAATAAACAGTGCAGGGTTAGGGTTAGGGGTTAGGGGTTAGGGGTTAGGGTTAGGGTAGGTTAAGCTCCGACTTAACATGATATTATGCTCATTTGGTGCATAGGTCTATTATTGGCTATTAGTGTTTGGTAAGTTGATTGACCTGCTGGGGGATTCTTGGGCAATTATTAGCTGCCTGGCCCTAATTAACAACCTATTCCTCTCCTTGTCTGTGCATTGTGTACAGTATGCTGGAATATTATGCATGGATGGATTACGAGATGGTGGTTCCCTGGAAATAGTTGCTGTACAACAGAATAGTCTTCTTTTACCATATTCAGAAGACTCCTATTGCATTGTGTCTGTGCATTGTGTCAGTACTGAACATAAACTAAACCTCAGCATACTACACAATAGTACTAAACTAATAGTACTAAAATAATCACTCTCTTTGAATGTATGTCTTTTTTTTCTTGTGACAATCTCAGTGTTTATACTATCCCTACAGTTTACATTACAGATAATTTAACTTAAATGTTGTTTAAAATTTCTCGTCGCATCTCAATTTTATTTACTACTGAATTTAAGGATTAAAAAACCCAAAACATTTAGTTTATCTAATATGTAATGACTTAGCTGTAAGTTAAACTTTTTAATCAGAGATATTGTTCATGTACCTCGAACCAAAAAAAAAGTCAACACACAATCTCAATTCTCACATTAACTTTAACTTCAAAGGAAAATGAATTCACATTATTCCATTGATTTTGACAATTATTAGTCTCCACCTATGGAGCATTGTAAACATTTAGACACTATATTCTGTCTCTGCTTTTCATGGGAATAATTTTTCAAATCCACAAATAAAAACATAATGTAAAAATATGACAGAAATAAAAAAAGTCCATTTCATGCTGTACGTTCCCTTTTACACCTAAACGGCATCTTTAATGGGCAGCAATAATTGCTTGGATCCTCCACTCACACAACCTGGTTTCCAGCTCTCATATCAAAGAGCCTCTGCCCTGCTCCTTGAATAGTTTGCAACAATAGTTAATAGTTTAACAATAAACCTACTCCTTGGCTTCCCTGCAATGCAGGAAGCCAACAAAGGGAGCTTTTCTTGGCAGGGATCTGTAAAGCATCAGATTAAATGCTCCTGAAAACATTCGTGGATGCATTAACAAACATGGGCCCATAGAATAACAATGCTGTGACATGACAACTTTGTAATTATATGAGAGCAACAGTAGTAACTACTTGCAAACCCTTAAACTATTATTCAGGTTGAGAACACTTTTGTCTTTAAGATAACATACATCATGAAATATTTCTTCCTTCAGACAGGTGTGTATCTCTTCAGATAAAAGAAAATGAAATATGCTTATAATCAGCATATCTGTGGGTTTTGTGTGGGCTTTTGCTCAGGTTCACTGTGTGTAGCATAAATATACAGTACATCTATATTGAGATATTATACAAATTCAAGTATTGTCTGCATTATTTTAGTGCTGTGCGGGCATAAGACAAATAAGCATGCCAACAAAAAAACAGCGTCCTTAGGCAGTTAATAGCCACATCTAACATCAAAGCTGTGATGTTCATTCCAACAGATGGAATAATGACTGGAAAAGTCAGCAAATATTGCAGAGGCAAACACAAACTCAAAAATACAACATGGCCTCCTGGTAAAATAAAGCTCTCAAGGGACTGAAATCCATCTATTCTAAAGGTACAGAGTCAGGACCCTCATCTCGTAGAACGGCTGTCTCTAGGATATCAGAGGTGGGCGTGTCAGGCAGCTCCTGAGACAGGTCTTCAGAGCATCTGCTAACAGTGGGTGAGATCACATCTGGACTTGTGTCACAGGACTCTGTGCTCTGTTCTGAGGTGGCTGTTGTAATTGTTGTGGCAACACTGGGGGGAACTGGGTCAAACTCATCATCGTCGTCCTCCAGGATGGGTGACTCATGGACGTCTGCCAGAATAACGAGATGTTTTAGACAAGATGATTTGGGAAAGTTGACAGTGGTTATACAATGATGAATGGATGGAAAAGGCTAACTCACTGCTGAAAGCTTCTGGGTACTGCTTGGCAATCTTCCCTTTCAGTGTCCTGGAGAAACATAGAAGGTAAAAAAAATAAAATAAAATGTGTGTGTGTGTGGTTTTTTGCACTGTGGGTGTAGTGACTTACCTGATCCTTCTGAAGACACTGTCCAAATCTTTCTTCATCTCCACAAGCGTGCGGGTGTGGAGCAGAAAGCGCTCGTTCATCTGCTGCAGCCGCACGTTCGATAGCCCATTGAAGTTGATCAGCATTTCGTTGGTTTTCTCAAAGCGGTCGAGCCTGTTTTCACAAAATTAAGCAAAGCAACATTAATCTTCAGGTGCCCGCTTACCTGCAAGCGGATTGACCCCCGCTAAACAGCACACCCATTTTATATTTAGTAGTGTGATGTAGCAGATAAGCCGCACCAAGCTAATAAAGACCAGTCACGCCATGACACTCACATATGTCTCTGAGCCTGGATGATGGCGTTCACATCCTCAGAGTTGACCATGCTCAGCATCCTGTTACAGAACACGCCAGATGCTGTGGGCTCCGCCATGATGAAGAGCTGTAACGTTACAGACTTTTAATAAATGTACTCTACAGAGTTGTATAATATAATATTATCAACAACATAGTTAGACATTGAAACCACGAGTCCATAAAGAAAGCGTAATCATGAAACTAACGGTCAGTTAGTCATGCTGGTGTTGTATGTTCGAGCTAGTTAAGAGTCGGTAGCGTGAATATACTTGACTATCATCTTCTACAGGGGCAGTAAAGTTCCTCTGTGATATATTAATCACAGCAACTTTATAAAAAGCATCATCAGTTCAGCAGAGTTCCCTGTTAGCAGACTGGACGAGCCGCTGGTAAGTTAGCTCGAGAGCTAAAAGGACAAACCAAGCAACAAAACTCATATCAGCTACCTGAGGTTGTTTGCGTCGACCTCTGGCTGTTTGAATAACAGATTTAAAACGACATCTGCAACCTAAATATACATCTGACAGCTGGCTGTAAAACAAAAACAAAGCACTCCCGTGTTTTTCTTACTTCCTGTCATAGGACCACGGTTTCCGGCGCTTTTGTCACGCTTCTTCCTTTTTTTCTTTATTTAAAACTGCGTACTACAAATGTACAATTGTAAATGTTATTGACAATTTGAATTTGGTTATATCAATATATATATATATCATGTTTGTCAGATGCAGAATTATATTATAATGACAACAAGAGTGTGGATATTTCAAACATAAATAAAAAGTAAATATATACGTACACGTATTTAAAACTAATGCATACGATTAGATTGTAATCAAAATAGTTGATGTTTTGTTTGCCTTTCTACTCGAATCAAGGGCGGATAAATAGTGTCACTGTTGGTGGGGACATTAAAAACGTTTCCCGGTGGCCGATTTTTAGAAATAAAGTCGCTGATGGTCTGAAAAAGGTAGACAGCAGACCAAACCACAGTGAGGCATATGAGGGACAGGGGCGTAATCTTTCAAAACATAAAAAACGCATTAGAGTCTTAGTGGAGAACAAGAGCTGTTAACATTTATGTCCCAAATACATTCACTAGACACTGAGAGACAACACTGGTTATATTTATTCTTTTATCAAAATGATTGCTAGAGAAAATTAAGTAGTGGCTGGGTATTGATAGACATAGAAAGGAGCAATGTTTTTTCCTCCTGGGAGCAGGGAATGGTTTCAAGACAACATAGAACACCAGAGAATACATCTTCTGCTCCTCCACAAGAGCTTCTCTCCTCTAAAATAAACTCTGACCCCTTGAAAGATTCTCTTGTGAAAAGGTGCCACACACACTGAACTATTTATTTGATGTGTTCCTCCCCCACTTTGGGGTAGAGTGTGAGAAAATATTGAATGTATATAATGTGAAATGAATTTATACAGGTTCTTGTAAAACATTATGTAGTTTGACACACTACAGAGGATACAGAGTGTGGTGAAATGTGGGAGAAGTAACGCTCTCTGAGCTTGAAATGTTGAAACCTGTGTGTGTGTAGTTTCACACACAACAGAGTACCCTCAGCACCCAAACACCACATATCTAATGAAAATGTGTGTTATTTACAAGGACAGTCAACATAAAATGGGTGCGCATGAAGCAGGTCTTCATAGAAAATGAAGGCCAATGAGTTTCGGGTTGAAAACATTCCATCTTTACGATGGAAATCTAACTTTATGGTTAACTGAATTTGGATCATTCTGTTGAGTTCATTTTGATCCACACCGTAACACCAATAAATTCATTAACGTCATACTTCCAGAAAACTCAAAAAATTACTTTATTAAGGGACAAGTAAAAAAAGTACATAATGTATAAAAAATACAAAACCGCTTTGTCTAACTTGTAAGCTAAGTAAATGCATAGCAACAATACATGCAAGTCTAGAGTAAGGTATCCTACTTTTCTGTAACATTTTTAAGCTACAGGCTAAAAGGGGGAAAGCACAGTTTGGTTGCAATCTATCAGTCGTTTCAGTCTACATGATCCAAAGTGATGGTACAGAATAAATTCGGTTGCACGCAACTCAACTGATGAGTAAATAAATACTTAACATTTCACGAATATTGACAACCAGTAATCCAACGCAGTGTTAAAC